TCAAAGGGTATTATTAATGATCAATTAAAGATGTATTCTGTGTCTTACATACTTCACTCTAAGCTATTAGATGTTTCAAATATTTTCTGCTTCAAAGATCAGAATGCATCAAATGTGCACAAAGTCAGACTGGCTGGATAGTAGGTAAATTGAACCCCAAATGAATCCAGCTGACAGGAGCTGACTCAGAAGAACAAAGCACATACTGCATTAACACTGATGAGTTCATTAGTAGTCATCTAAGCACTGCCACATTAATTCTTGATTTTGCATATTAGTGTGAAGGTCAGGTGGATAGAGAGTGAGTAGAACTTTCAACAAAGTATGTTCAAAGTTGATGGGGTTGTTTTCTGGGAGGGATTGTTAACTCGTAGTTGTGGTAGTTTTATTTTTTCAAATTATGTGATTTATAGATGCATATAATAAAATGGGACCTAAAGGAAACCATGACAAAAAAATAGTCAAGCTGTTCGTTATCAAATAACACCTTTAATTATTAGGTCGTTGTTTGTCCAAAGAGTAGATGCCAACTGAGAATCCCTGAGCTGGCTCCATGCTTTAAAGCTTGGCTGCTCCTTCCTGGAGCTCATGCCACCAGTGGGGACAGTGAAAGAAAGAATGGACTGTCTCATAATAGGAAGAGCTCTGCTGCAAAACAGGCAGGCAGCCTTTTTTCCTCTACTGCCTTGTCACGTGTACTTTGGGACCTTTCACATATAGTCTACATCCCATGTCTTTTTTTGTGAACTCTGGATTCAGTTTTTAAAAGGTTGATTTATTTGTTTGTTTGTTTGGTTGGTGTGTGTCTGTGTCTGTGTGTGTCTGCATGTGTGAAGTCAGAAGGCCTTGGGTCCCTTGGAGCTAGAGTTACAGGTGGATGTGAGCCACCCCTGGTGGTCCCTGGGAACGGAGTTCTGATCCTCTGGAAGAGCAGCAAACACTCTTTACTGCTGAGCCGTCTCTCCTGTTCCCTAGACTCATTTTTAATTCCAGGAGTTGAACACAGAGTGAAATGACCAATAGTTCTGGATAGACCACAGAAGTAGGTGGGGCTTCATTGTAGAATCCATCTGTAACTTAGTACTGATGTACTGTATCTCATAACAGTTGAGAAGTTAGTTAAGTCCTTTTTAGTTTTGCTATGGGGAATCTCATTCTGGTCTCCTCTGTCAAAAAAAAAAAATCATAGACACACAAAGTAATGAAGAGGTAGAAGTAGTTTATTCCAAGGTAAAGGGACACTCTCCAGGTGGACAGTGGGAAAGGAAGCACTGCAAAGGGGACACTCAAGGGTGAGAGTAGACAATGACCAGAGAGACAGCTTTCCTGAGGGAGGGTTTCCTGTCCAGGTGATTGACAGGCCCATTTGGGTTGACTCATTTTTTTTTCCTTTTTTGAGGCAAGGTTTCATGTAGTCCAGCAATGTAGCCAAGAATGACCTTGAACTGATTCTCCTGCCTTCACCTTCCAGCTGCTAGTTTACAGTCATGGTCCACCACACCCAGTTTTTTACTCTGTGTGTGTGTGTGTGTGTGTGTGTGTGTGTGTGTGTGTGTGTGCACGCGCGCGCGCGCGCGCGCGATACACTGGGTAATACAGTGGGTATGTGGACATCAGAGGATAACTTGTGAAGAGTTGGTTCTCTCCTTCCATCACGTAGCTCCCAAGGGTTGAAGTCAGGTTTTCACCTGGCAATAAGAGCCTTTATCAGCTGTACCATCTTGATGGCCCCACAGTCAGTGCTGGGAATTAACTCAGGATTTTCAAACACTCTGCCAAATGTGTCCCTGTAGATTAACTCTTCATGAAGGGGACAGTGGTATGGCTATGCTTTACCAGAAGGCCTTCAGCTATATCATAGTAGTATAGACTTCTGTGTCTCCACTCAGACCCCATTCATTTGACCAGTAGTAAGAGTCCTGCAATTTCATTTCCTGGTTTTACAGGCTGCTGATTACACAGGAGGGAGTCCATCCTCAGTAACCTGTAGCACGGATTGTTAGAAGGTCTTGTTAATAAAAACAAACCTGGAGCCAGGTATTGGGGTGAATGATGAATGATCAGAGAAACAGAACAAGCCACAGCCACTTCACCTCTCCAGTTCGTCAGCTGATCCTGTTTCCTCAGACTGGAAGCCTCTGAGTCCTCATCCAGAATGAATCTCAGCTGAACTGCTGCTAAAAGCCTAAAAGCTTAACCAGTTGTAGTTCCTCGTCCTCACGCCTTAAATACCTCTCTTCCTCCTGCCATCACTTCCTCGGATTAAAGGCGTGGGTCACCATGCCTGGCTGTTTCCAGTGTGGCCTTGAACTCACAAAGATCCAGGTGGATCTCTGCCTCTGGAATGCTAGGATTAAAGGCATGTGTGCCACCATTTTCTGGTCTCTATATCTAGTGGCTGTTCTGTTCTCTGACCCCAGATAAATTAATTAGGGTGCACAATATTTTGGGGAACACAATATCACCACAGTAACCTTCCAGCCTGCTAATATCTGACTAGCTACTTAGCAGTTTACCATAGCTTAAAAATAGGCTTATGGGAGAGGTGATAAGAGAAAAATGACTTCAAAAACAGAAAGATGTCCTCTTTTACAGCAAAGATTTTATTTCAAAGAAAGACTAAGTTTTTTATTCTACCTAACAGGTCGTATCTACAAATACTTCTCAACTAGTCCTGTATTATGAAAATTCCTTCCCTAAGGGAGCTGTGAACTACTTTTAATGTGTAACTGGAGTTTTCTCTCCAGTGCCGCCAAGGCCCGGTAGTCCCGGAGCCCACTTATAAAATAAACATACAGACACTTATATTATTTAAACTGCTTGGCCATTAGCTCAGGCCTATCATTGTCTAGCTCTTACTCTTATATTTAGCCCATTTCTATTAATCTGTATTTTGCCACGTGGCTCGTGGCTTATTGGTACCTTACATCTTCCTTGTCCTGGCTGCGGCTCCAGCAGTCTCCCCCTCTCCTTCCTGTTCCCTCAATTCTCCTCTCAGTTAGTCCCACCTATACTTCCTGTCTGGCTACTGGCCAATCAGTGTTTATTTATACAGAGTGATATCCACAGCATAAGGTCCATGACAAACCAAATCATAATTCCCTGGGGAGTCACTGAGGTTATTGGGCTTACACAAGCCAGAGGATGCTGACAGGAGCATGGGGTGATGCTGTGGGATGTTAATGTATGTCCTGTGGGAGCCCTTCTTGGGTTCCTTGTGGCGTTACCCAGCAGGTTTGCATAGAGGATGATTAGGACCATGGGCCTGAGTGCAGGTGTCTGAGATGGTCTGCACTTGGCTTTATTGGGGGATGGTCTGTATGTCAAGTTGCTCTGATTGGTCAATAAATAAAACCTGATTGGTCGTGGCTAGGCAGGAGGTATGGGCGGGACTAACAGAGAGGAGAGATAAAAGAGCAGGAAGGCAGAAGGAGACTCCGCCAGCCAGCCGCCAGCCACCCGCCAGGACAAGCAGCATGTGAAGATGCTGGTGAGCCACGAGCCGCGTGGCAAGGTATAGATTTGTAGAAATGTGTTACTTTAAGATATAGGAACAGTTAACAGGAGGCCTGCCACGGCCATACAGTTTGTAAGCAATATAAGTCTCTGTGTTTGCTTGGTTGGGTCTGAGCGGCTGTGGGACTGGCAGGTGACAGAGATTTGTCCTGACTGTGGGCAAGGCAGGAAAACTCTAGCTACAGGGTGACCCCAGAGCAGCAGTGGAAAGTCACCTCCCATGACTGATGGCTTCTAGATAGCCTCACAGCTGGAGCCCACTTCTACGATTCCCAGCCTGAAGACTCCAGCTCCTCCCTCCCTCTAGTTCCGTGCAGTTAGGACAGAACTGTTTTCCACCAAGCCTGGTGAGCGCGCTTGGATACCCATAGCCCACATGGGAGAGGCTGAGACCCCGCCCCGGCATGCTGTCCTCTCACCTCCACAATGATAAAGGTGAAAATCTTAAATGTGGGTTTGGAGAGATGGCTCGGCAGTTAAGACTTGCTGTTCTTACAGGGTTTGGTTTTTCAGCACCTACATGGTTGTTCACAACCCATTTACATAAAATTTTAAAAATTAACAGGTCCAAGAAAAGTCTACACCTTCATTTCATAGGTTAGGAAAATAATAGAGCGGGGTGTGGAGATATGTGCACTGGGCTTCAGTCGGCGGGAGCATTTTCTCTCATCACCAACGGTACAGTGGACCATTTAAGGGGAGGGCCAGGTACTCAATTCCGACCCACAACAAGCCATCTGGAGGACTGAAATCTGTTTCCTAGTCCTAGTTCAAACTACTAATTAAATGAGATATTTGGGAACATGAGGCCCCCGTACTTCAAAACTACCTCAGAAATTCTCGTTTGTAGTCAAAGGTGGCAACTGCTAAATTAGCATCTGGCTGTAATCTCAACACGCAGGAGGCAGAGGCAGGAGGAGTATCGCAAGCTGGATGCCAGCCTGGTGTACATAGCGAGTTCTAGGCCAACCAGAATACCCCTCCCACATGTTAAATGTTTTATTTTTCATTCATAACAGTTTATAACATGCTACTTGTGTTTTCATTTTGTAAATGTATGAACATACAGATGATACTAGTGAAAAAGTAATGGCGGGATTGAGGAGATGAGAGGGTGGCGCACTCCTGTAATTCCAGCACTCAGGAGGTGGTAGCCGCACGATCAGTAGTGGTACAAGGCTGCCTAGGCTACAAGAGAACCTGTTTCGAAAGAGAAAATAAGAACACCTCTTCACAAGTAATGGCACCGAAAAGAATCGCACCTGTTTTGTAGAATCACTTTCCAACGCCAAGCGCCCCAGGGCTGTCCCCAAACTTGACTCGGCTTTTGACGTGCAAAGGCGCGCGCAACCTCAGCAGCTCAGGGAGCCTTCCCCACTTGGAAGGAGTCAGCCCCGCCTCCCCGCCCCTCCCTCCCTGCGGCCACGCCCCTGACCCCGCCCATGCACCGCCCCGCCCCTCCTCCGGCCCCGCCCCTCCCGTTCCTCCACGCCCTCACCTCCCGCCGCCCGGCGCCGGTGTTGTCCAAGATGGAGGGTGCCCTATCGGCGCCGCGGCTGCCCGTCCGGCTGCTGCTGTTCGTGGCGCTGCCAGCCGTGGGGTGGCTGACCACCAGCGCGCCCAGGCCGCCGTCCACAGCCCCGCAGGTAGGGCCGGGCGGGCGCAGCGGGCAGCGCTCCTCTGCGGACCTCCGGGAGGCCGGTCGCGGTGGCGCTGTCCCCTCCCGGGGGCGGACGGGCCGGGGCCGGGCTGGACCGGGTCTGGGCGCCCGGAGGATTGAAGGGGGAGGCTCTCCGGGATGCCGGGCGGGGTGGGCCGCCCGAAGGAGAACGCGAGGAAGGCGCGCAGGCGCCCTCGAGTGTGTGGCCAAGCCTACAGTAGCCACCCCAAACTTGAGATCCGTAGCGCTTCCCGAACTGTCGCGGTCCTCCTGCCTGGCTTGGCTGTCGAAAGTTGCGCGATCGCCAGTGACCTCGGGTGTTTGTTATGGCTGCTTCCTGGGATAGAGCCCGGCCCTTGGGCCTGACGGCGTGTGTGCTGCCAGTTAGCAGCTTTCCTGGCCACCTGTGTCTGCTCCGCAGAGACCGGGAGGGAGCGCCTTTCCCCGGCCGCCGCCGGGCCACTCCGGCTGGCGAGGGGGAGAGGCAGAAGACTTCGCGTTTCCCGGCGTGGCTTTTTATTGGATGTTAGTTGAGGGGTCCTCCCTGCGTCACGGGTCGGAGATGAGCTTCAGCATCCCCCGGGAACCGGATTCAGTCGCTCGGTGTCACAAGCCTTGCAGGTGACTGTACCTGGCTGACTCGGAGGACCGTGGCATTGCAATATTCAGGGGCAGCCCATGTTTAATTTTGTTGCCGCGACATTTGCCTTTCTTCGTTTGTATAGTCGGAAGAAGTTTGGAAAGTATAAAGTTCCAGTTTTTCCCAAGTGACTTGAAACTTTCGAGCTTGAACACCTTACTATTTCGGTGGGAATACACTAAATATAGAAGTGGCTTACATGATAAATGCCACTTTTTATTTTTAAAAATTTGCTTGTTACGTGTGTATGATGTTGGATCGGGGACATGTGCCACAGAAGTGGAGGTCAGAGGACAGCCTTGTGGAGTCGGTGTTCCCCATGGTCATCTGGTTTTGCAACAAGTGCTTTTATAATAACCCTTGAGTCATCTCTCTAGTCCTTCATTTTACTTTTAATGTTTTGGAGTTATGCTATAACTCCTCTGGGTACAGAAATTTCAAACAAGCCTCAGGGTCAGTTTGGACACATTCTGGATATTTCGACTTAAACACACTTATATATGAAGTTGTACATGAGCCACAGTTGTTTCTGGGTAAAAAAGCAATGGTATGAACAAGCACCAGGAATAAATATGGGGTGGTTTTGAAGTTATGGAGGTATGGACTAATTTCCTCTCTTTTGCAATTCATCATCACTTATGAACCTAAGAAGCATTTGAACTTACCCACACACTCAGAAAAAACATCTTGCCTGCAAGGTCAAGTGCACTTCACCATTTTCTCTCTCCCTTTCTAGGCCTTTTGGAAAGCAGGCAAAACACCCATACACATAAAATAAAAATAAGGGTTAATAAACTTTTTTAAAAAGTTCTCAGAGGAAGAGCTGTGAGCTGGATCTGAATTTAATGTCAGATGAAAGTAAGAAATGGAATTCTCTTTTTTCAATGACAGCATTCAAGAACATCAAAACAAGTTGTGTGTATATGAATATATGCATATGAAATCATTCAAGAGTATCAAAATAGATTGGTGTATGCATACATACTTGTGCATGGACGCACCACACTCACAAGTGTATGCTTGTGTGTGTGCTAGAGATTGAGCCCAGGGTCTTGAACCTTCTTAGGCTCCACCATTGAGGTATGCCTCCATATCTGTAGGAAAAGAATTGAACTTGGTTTTTTTTTTTGAGGAAAAAAAAAACGCAAATCACACCTGTGTCTTTCGTCTTTTATAAACCATGATGTTACTAAGCAAACGATAAGATATTTAATACAGTAAGTTACTAAGTATGGTGTATATTTACTCTTGGAAAGCAGAAGCTGTAGAAGATTCTCTCTAAACACGGCTTTTTGTGGGCTTGTAGAAGAATAATGGCTTCTGATTAGTAGATCCTTCCATGATGGGTGAAGGCACAACCAGACGATCGGGAAGCACCTGGTAGAGCGCACCTGCAGTCAGGAAACAGAAAGGATGGCTGGTGCTCAGCTGGCTTTCTCCCTTGTCTCTTTATATTCAATCCAACGTAGTCCATGATCTGGTCCTGCCCACACATTCAGGGTGGATCTTAAACCTCTGGAGATGCCCTTACAGACACACCCAGAGGTATGTCCCCCAGGTGGTTCTAAGTCCAGTCAGCTTGACAGTGAAGATTGTCTCACATAAATAGAAAAAGGGTTGGGGGAGGGAGGGGCCAATGTACTGTGGTGAGATGGCTCAAGCCTTGCCGTCATGCAGCCCCACTCCCAGACGAACTAGACCGATTGGCTACACCCCTCCTCCTAATAGAAAAGCTTTCAGTTAACAGTGACAGGTCCCTGTGGCCAGTAGTGCTTTCCTACAAAAATGCCATCAGTAGATTTAAGTATTTGGGTAAATGGTTGTTGATCAGACCTTGAGCAAGACCAAAAGTGCCAGCTACAGACACTTACCCAAGAGGTGTGCCCAGGCGGGGTCAGAGTGGGTTCAATAAGAAAGCACGGGTATCCATGGGCCGTGGAATCCTTACACAGCCTTGTAAATCAGTGACTGTTGCCGCACACGTGAGTGTCTGTACTGCAAGACGAAGTCCCAGGTAAACTGCTCTGCTTCTGTAATGCCCAGAAAGAGATAAAGCTAAGCAGTGCATTGTTTACAGAACACAGCTAATAAAACTGTAAAGAAAAGTGGGAAATGAGTAGTAGAAATCTTCTGTGGGGTAGGGGTAGTGGGCAAGAGTAACATTCTCTGCCTAAACTCCCGCTCTCTGGGATCCAATGCCTTAAATATCTGAGAGCACCTGGACTCATATGCGCCACCAAACCTAGTTTAAAATAATAAAAATAAATCTTAAAATAATAACAGAAGAAATGGAAAAAGGACTGGTTATTCTCCGGGTGAAGGGCTCAGCAAGTAAAAGCACCTGCTACAAAGGCTGACCACTTGAGTTTGATCCCCAGAACCTAAAGGTGGAAGAAGAGAACCGACTTCCAAAAATTGTCCTCTGACCTCCACACATAGACCGTGGCATATGTGTGCCTGCACTCATGTGCACACATACAATAATAGCAATCAAAATTTTAAAGAACTGGGTTATTGTTTTTGGTTGTCTTTGCTCTTTTGGTGGGTCTGCCACCCAGTTCCCAAATAAATCACACACAGAGGCTTATTCTTACTTATGAATGCCTGGCCTTAGCTCGGCTTGTTTCTAGTCAGCTTTCCTTAACTTAAATTATTCCATCTACTTTTTTAGGGGGATGGGGGGGGATTTCGAGACACGGTTTCTCTGTCCTGGAACTTGCTCTGTAGATCAGGTTGGCCTCTAACTCACAGAGATCCACCTGCTTCTGCCTCTTGAGTGCTGGGATTAAAGGTGTGTGCCATCACTGCCTGGCTCCATCTACTTTTTGCCTCTGGGCTTTTCCCATTCTCTTCTGTAAATCTTACTCTTACTCGGTGGCTTGCTATGTGGTGGATAGCCCCTGGAGTACTCTCCCTTCTCTGGCTACTTCTTCTTTCTCCCAGATTTCTCCCTCTATATATTCTCTCTGCCTGCCAGCCCCACCTATCCTTTCTCCTGCCTTGCTATTGGCTGTTCAGCTCTTTATTAGACTATCAGGTGTTTTAGACAGGCACAGTAACACAGCTTCACAGAGTTAAACAAATGCAACATAAAACAAAAGTATCACACTTTAAAATAATATTCTACAACAGGTTTATTTTCAATTTATAAATGTGTATCTACCCAACCTATACATTTTGTTTTGCAGGATGGCATCAGAATTAATGTAACTACCTTGAGAGACAATGGACAGGTGTCTAAAGAACAGGTTTGTCTCCTTTTGACTCTATTTTTAGTATAACATTTAGTCAGGGATGTTTACTAATCATATCGGTCCATTTTCCGTTATTACAGTGAAATGCCTGAGGAAATAGCTGTGTCAGGCTATAACTGACCTGGTTACCCACTCTGCTAATGAAGCTGGGAATGGCAGCTCATGCCTGTAATCCCAGCACTTTGGAGGCTGAGGCAGGGGCTTACCTCAAGTTAAAAATCAGCCCGGGCTTCTTAAGTAGTGAGACTGTCTTAAGAAACCAAAATCCAAGGACTGGAAAGATGGCTCAGTGATTAAGAGCACTGGCTGCTCTTGCAGAGGATTGTGTTCGATTCCCAGCAACCATTTGGCAGCTCACAACTGTCTGTAATTCTTCAGTGATGGGGCCCTAAGGGGGATGAGAAGATGAAGAAGATAGAAGAGTTAGGGTCAGGAGGTTCTTGCATAAGCTATATCTTATGCCAGGCAAGCTTATTAAGAAGTATGGTATCTTGTATGTGGTTTTTATGAAAGAAATGGGGCAGTGTCAGCAGAAATCTCTGGGAAGAATCATCTGGAAGCCAATTAAGCAATGCTTCACAAGGGGAACACAGGCTATTTCAAGGGTGTCGGAGGGTGGGCCTGGGACTGATAACTGTAGCCCCTTGGGTCATTGCTAGGTCTGCCAGGCATGCTTGCAGCTTGGTGGAACACTGTTCCTCCTCCATACATCAACCTAGCCTTCAACATGGAACTGCAGTTCCAGGGGACCTAGTACCCTCTTTGCCTCTTAGACACTACACTACACTACACTACACACACACACACACACACACACACACATACACACACACACTCACACACTGTGCACAGACATACATGCAAGCAAAACATCCGTACAGATAAAATAAAAAGAAATAAATTTTTAAAAAGGAAACCAAGCAAAACCAAAGCCTCAGGCAAACCCAAGAATGCTTTTGTTGTTTGCTTTTCACTTAGTTGCAGAGGGTCAAGGGCATATTGCCGACACTGGTTTGTCTCTGGTCTCATGGCCAATGATACCGCAGTGATAGGAGCTCACACGAGAACAAAAGTGTGCATTCCAGATACCAAATGGGAGAGAGACTGGGGTCCCACAGGTCCTGTGAAGACATTGTCCCAGGGATTACACATCAACCACTAAGGTTTGTATCTTAGAGATCCCCACCTGAACATCACCACACTGACAGACCAAGCTTCCAACACACGAATCCTTGAGGGACAAAAAAATATCTAAACTATGACTCCTGCCACACACAGAGTTAGGTAATATATTTTTGACATGAAGAGTTTGTTGTCATTTATAAACCATTGGAATTAATATATATGCTGCTTTATTTTAAGGTTGTTCTTAACATAACCTATGAGAATGGACAGGTATATATAAATGACTTACCTGTAAATAGTGGTGTAACCCGAATAAGCTGTCAGACTTTGATAGGTGAGTATTACTAATTGTTTCCAACATTGCTCTGTCTTTAATAATACTAAGTTAGTACTGGATGTGATAAAGTTCCTCTTTAAAGTAATAGATTATTTCTATAATAGTAGAATTTATTTCTATAATAACATTTAAACTATGTTGATTATTGATACACTGCTCGTTCCTTCATGAGACTGGTATTTAGTTTCTGGTAGGTTAACAGTATAAGAGTGGGCATAGATGTGGACTAGCAAGAGCTCAAATCCTGCAAATTCACAATTGCAGAAAATTAACAGATATTAATTGTATGTATGGGTCCTACTTTATTTCTTTCACTCATCTGTCAACAGAATGTTTCTTTTTTAAGATTCATTTATTTTTATGAGTATGGTGTTTTGTCTGCATGTATATCTTTGTACCACTTGTGTGCCTGGTGCCCAAGGAGTCCAGAAAAGGATGTTAGATCCCCTGGAACTGGAGTGGTAGGCAATTGTGAGCTGCCATGTGGGCCCTAAGAACTGCTCCCAGTCCTCATCAAGAGCAGCAAGTGCTCTTAACTGCGAAGCTAGCTCTTCAGCCCTTTTTTCTTTTTAAACTTTAAGGTTTTTTTTTTTGTTATTTAAAGGATCAGATAATATTATATTGGGATATACCGTTTTATTTGAATAAACTAAAGACTATGGGAGGTGTCAATGTTCTGTGGCTTGTGAGAAGCAGTGACTGGGCCCAGCTGGCACTGAGGTGGGGAGTTAGGCAAGGGAGTCATGCCTGGCAGCAAGCATCATTGAGGGTGTCCTTAGAAGGCTGATGCTGAGGGCGGAAGTCAGCGTGGGGTCTTTTGTTAGTAACGTATGCAGCGTTAGGGGTACGAGATTCCGGCACTAGAGAGTTCCCGCTCTGGTGTATTGAAAACTACACTTTTCCACTGTTGACCCTCGTATGTCCTAGGCTGTAGGCGTAGACATGCTGACCAGGCTGGGGCACTAGTGAGGAAACAGGCAATTGAAACCCTGATTTATTAAACCGGGCACTATGGTAACCAAACTTGTGTGTCCCTAGTCCCAGCTGCTGGGGCGGCTGAGGTGGTGGAGTCACTGCGTCCTTGGGTTTGAAGCAGTCTGGACAACATAGTGTCCATAGGGAAGGTGCAGACCGCCCGCCCCAGCTCAAAACATTTTTTAAGGTGCCGGAGCTATAGCTCTGTGGTAGGACATTTGCTGAGCAAGTAGACAGCCCTGGGTTCCACCCACAGCACCACAGTAAGCATAATGAAACCAGTTAGACACTAAAACGGTATTTTAAAGTTATGAATGGGGAAGAACAGGAGGGAGTTGCTCACGGAAAAGGAGTGGAGGCCATGGTGAGCGCCTCCCCGAGGGAGAGCTGGCTGGCAGTGCTGGAGTAGGGAGGGTATAATCAGAGTTACACCACGGTGGCATATTCGGCACTACTGTGAGCATGGTATGGCTGGAGCCTGAGGAGGAGACTGTAACTGAGGATAGTTAAATGGCTAATGAATTGGGTGTCAGCTGTTCTGGGTGGAAGGAACAGCCCTTTCAAGGCTCACAATGAGTTTAAGCCACTGGGTGTGCATTTAGAATGTAATATCTGTATGCTTCCTTGACAAATTAGTCCTTATATTTGAGAGGCAGCGACTGCATGCTCATCTTGTGGCAAATTGGTGTGTGTTGCTTTAAACAAGGTTTAAAGGTTTGTTTTATGTGTCTGCAGGTGCCCGCAGAGGCTAGAAGGGAACATTTGTCCCAATTTGAGGCCATGTTACGCCACCTGCTGTGGGTGCTGGGTTCTGAGCTCAGATCCTCAGATGGATCAGCTCTTAATGGCGGCACCATCTCCCTAGCCCCTTCATATGTGTTTGTGGGACAGCTTTGTTATGTGCTCAGGCCGGCCCCTGCTGCCTCAGCTGCCCAAGTGCCAGGATTATAGGCATGCACCACCATCCTGGCTGGTTTACTCTTTTAAATTTTGTCTTTAACTTTGAGACTTTCATCCATGTATACAATGACATATGGTCATATCTGGCCCACCACCATGACAGAGGGATTGCAGACCCCTCTTACCCTCTTCCTGCTCCTGTCCTCTCCAGCTGTAAAAAGTCACCCGCTGGGTGCAAAGAATCAAGAACACTCCAAAAACAAAGAAAAGAAAACCCGAAAGTAAAGCCACACAGCTTGTGTGGTGTCTTCTCTCCCTGGCTGGGTCTTAGGGGTGAATAAGTGACTTAGTGAATAAGCTGACTGTCCTGTGGTTTGCTTTCCATCTGTGCTGTGTTGCTCTTTGCTGGCAGCCAACATGAAACCCCAGGGGAGGCGCTGCCACGATAGCACGCGTGGCCCATTCAGATCGCAGACCAGGAGGCATTTCCTTCTCTAATGAGTGGAAGCCACTGGACGGACTTGGCAGCTCATCCCTGCTTTTATAAACCTGAGACTGTTAAGGTCAAGGATGAAGGAAGCCAATAAAATGTGTTTGCTGCTGTCTTGTTCCAAGTAAATGTCATAGAAATCGTCAACTACAGTCACAGCTTTGGTGGTAACTTTGGTCCACAGTCTCACTGCTTTTTTTTTATTCTTTTAATAGTGAAGAGTGAAGATCTGGAAAATTTGGAAGAGAAAGAATATTTTGGAATTGTCACTGTAAGGATCTTAGTTCATGAGTGGCCTATGACGTCTGGTTCCAGTTCACAATTAATTGTTATTCAAGAAGAGGTGGTAGAGATTGATGGAAGACAAGTGAGACAATATGCTTGTTAAAGGGGGTGAATTTGTGCTGTGTGTACAGGTGCTGAGTGGTTTTGTTTCTGACTTGATGAGGAAGAACGTTCCTGTCTTAGTTACTTTTCATTTGCTGTGAAGGGACACCGTGACCAAGGCAACTTATAGAGGAAAACATTTAATTGGGGCTTGCTTAGTCAGTCCATTATCATCATGGTGGGGAGTGTGGCCGTAGCCAGACAGGTATGGTGCTAGAAAAGTAGTTGAGAGCTACACCCTGATCTGCAGGCAGAGAGAGCAAGGAGGGAGAGCGAGACAGAGACAGACAGACAGACAGACTGGGCCTCAGAGCTCACCCCCTGTGGCATACCTCCTTCAGCAAGGCCACACCTCCTAATCCTTCCCAAACAGTTCCACCAGCTGGGGACCAATCATTCAAACGAATGAGCCCATGGGGGCCATTCAAGATACCACAGTGCCCTAGAATTGTCTGGATTTAATCATGTGGCATTTTTGTTGTTTTTGCATTTTACTTTCTTAAAAATCTCACGTTCATATGTCATTTAAAATGTGATGAGCATCAGCACACAGAGAGAATGAAGGGACTCGATTGTGTTCATGGTTCAGGGATGTGTGAATGAAGCTGCATTGAAGGTGTAAATGCCTCACAGGGTGGGAGGGAGTAAGGAGCAACTGGCTGAATGGACAAGTCTTTTAGTTATAGAAGTCAAGGAGGAAGTTCACTTTTAAACTAGGACATTATTTAAAGTAAAAGGTACTTATTTTTTTTCTCATAGGCTCAACAAAAGGATGTTACCGAAATTGACATTTTAGTTAAGAACCAGAGAATACTCAGACATTCAAACTTTTCCCTTCCTTTGGAAGAAAGCATGCTTTATTCTATTTCCCAAGACAGTGACATTTTGTTTACCCTTCCCAACTTTTCCAAAAAAGGTAATTTAAAAGACCATTATTTAAAATGTTAGTGAAATTATTTTGTCTTATATGCTTTTTCTTTTTTCAAGACAGGATTTTTCTGTGTAGGCCTGGCTGTCTTGGAACTCACTCTGCGGACCAGGCTGGCCTAAAACTCAGAGAACCATCAGCCTCTGCCTCCTGAGTACTGGTATTAAAGGCGTGCGCCACCACCAAGCTTACCTTATATACTTAAAAAATATTTGTGTGTGTGTGTGTGTGTGTGTGTGTGTGTGTGTGTGTGTGTGTGTGTGTGTGTACATACCTCCGGAGGCCATAAAAGAGTCAGAGCCCTGGAGCTAGAGTCACAAGATGGGTGCTGGGAACTGAACTCAGGTCCTTGGAAAGAGCGGCTTGCACTCTTAACCAGGGCCAGCCCTCAGTCCTCTATGTGTTCTTAAGCATTTTTGTCATTACTTACAAATGCTGCTGTATATCTTTACCCATTTAATGTATTCAGAAAAAGACTCCTTTAAAAAAGTACTTTGAGAGTGGGACCAAAGCTGAACTTTTACATTTTTATTTTGTTGTGTTGTTTTTGAGGCAGGGTTTCTCTGTAGCTCTGGCTGTTCTGGAACTCATTCTGTAGACAACTACCCCTGCTAGAACTTCTACATTTGATTGTATTTCCTTCCTTCCTGTCTGTCTGTCTCCCTTTCTTTATTTCGACAGGGTCTTACCCTGTAACCCAGCCTGGTCTGTAATGTGATAGGTAGACCAGGGTCGCCTTGAATTTGTGTTCCTCCTGCTTCACAAGTGCTGGGATTACAGGAGTGAGCACCATGCCTGGCAGAACTGAAAATTTAGATTTTCTGTGTGACAGAACTATAACTTCTGTAGCCCCGCATAGTGGTCTGAGTGAGTTTCTTCTTCTGGTGTTAAATAAGTGAATAAGATTCTTGTTCTCTCATGGTGGATATGTTAGGATAGCAATCGCAGATAATATGGTGTGCTCTATTAGGGCTTGCAGAAGATGCCAGCATGCTGCTCGCATTTGATAACTTTGTTCCCTCTTCAGTAGGAAGCATTAGTTCCTTGCAGACCACTAGCCATTACCTCATTGGGAATGTGGAAACCACTGTGGAGGGAAATGCTTTACCTGGCAAATTGCCCGAGACTCCCCTCAGAGCAGAGCCTCCATCTTCATACAAGGTAAATCTAATGCTTAGTGCTCTCTTTATGTGGTGTTACCATAGGCAGTTACAGTTACGGTGAAGAAGCTAAGTGTCTCCTTAAAATGAGGAGGAAACCATAAAGATTAAAATAGTGGATCACTTGTAATGATGGATGCATTACATTTTGGTTTTTGTTTGTTTATTTTTCAGTTTGTAGCCTCGGCTGAGCTCAGACTCATAATGATCTTCCTGTGTCCATCTCTGGGGTGCTGGTTCTATAGGTGTGAGTCACCACACCTGGCTCACTGGGTTTTTTGTTTTTTTCTCTCTCTCTCTGTCGGTGTGGGTGTACATGCACACTCACCAGAGGACAACCTTCAGGAGCTGGCCCCAGGAACCATACTCAGGTCATGAGGCTTGGCCACAAGTTACTCACTGAGCTACCTTGCTGGCCAGTATCTTAATTTTAATGTGGTATTCAAGGTGTTCCTATTTTCTTCTATAAACCTAATTTAATGATAGAGTCAGACCATGATTATCAAGGCCCAGGATTTCATTTGGTTGGGAGTCTTCAGTTCCATAGTTCATTCTCAAATCTCCATTCAGCTCCCACCTTGTAACACACAGGCACAGTGTGCCCTCAAGATCCTCACAGTGATTGGCTGTGGGTTAAATCTGATCTGCTGCTTACAAGTTATGTGACCTTGGGGCAGTTCTTAACCTCTAACCTGTTTCTTAGGTTAACCTACGCTTAGGCTATCAGGTACTATAAAATATTTCATCAAGGTGTTGTAAGGAATCAGATGGGTATTCCATGTGAAGCTACATTGATGTCTACTTAGAACATTTATGTTACATCCATAGAAAGAGTTCTGAGAGTATCCTAATATGTCTGCTCCCAAATGGGTAAGGTCTGTGCAGGTAATTCTCACTGAAGGGCAAATTGCTGATATGGGGTTGCTGGAGTCTAGATTAGCTGGGCACTTTGCACTGTGGTGCAGGGTGTTTACCCACCAACCCCACAGTTCCCCAGAGATTTGAGTGAGAGCAGCAGGAAATATTAGTTAGAAGGATTTAGAATGTGGAGATAAACAGATAGAAAATACAGGATAGCCTCTAGAGAGCCTGAAACCTATTCCAACGGACCCTGACTGTCTCTGCCTTAGGGTATTTATAGAAACGCCAAGGGGTGGAGCAAAAGACCTCCTCCCCCAGCACAGCCAAGTGCAGACCATCTCAGACACCTGCGCTCAGTACTGTGGTCCAACCATGTGGACCTGCTGAGTAAAGCCTGCAACAGTGGACAGTACTCACTAGTGTGTCAGCATTAATACTCCTTGCCTGTAGACCTGCAACAGTGGACAGTTCTCACTAGTGTGTGTCAGCATTAATACTCACTGACTGTAGACCTGCAACAGTGGACAGTTCTCACTAGTGTCTGTCAGCATTAATACTCCCTGACTGTTAGACCTGCAACAGTGGACAGTTCTCACTAGTGTGTCAGCACTGATACTCCCTGACTGTTAGACCTGCAACAGTGGACAGTTCTCACTAGTGTGTCAGCATTAATACTCCCTTGACTTGTTACACAGCGTTTTTCTTGGGAATATAATTTTTTAAGATTGTAAAAAAAAATTATTTCGGTACATTTTAAAATAAAATTTCGTTGTCATGTTATATGTGTCCTGTGGTTCCCCCACCCCATCACTGTGGAACTAGGGAAAAGTACTCATTTTTGAAATTTTTACCTCAATCCAGGCTTCTTTGTTTATTTACTTTTTTTTTTTTT